ATGCGATCGGTAAGGAGATATTCTCCATGAATACAATATAACAAATATGATATAAAAGAAAAACTCGTAATATCCATTTCTTTATCGTTTCTGTTGCTTGCATTATTTTTATTCCAACGAAAAACTGGAGAATCATATCATAGATTGCAACAAGTTGAATGACTGTGCAGTCATCCTGCCAACAGAGGACAACAAGTGGCTCAGTTTTACCAATTACAGCAGAAGAGAACGGATTCCATTCGTGGTGTACGCTGACCTAGAATGCATTCTAGAGAAGACGCCAAACGAAGAAAAAAAATCATATGTGTATCAGCATCATAAAGTACATAGTATAGCTTATTATGTACGATGTTCCTATGATGAATCATTACCCGCGTATCAGTGTCGTCGCGATCCGAATTGTATTTCGTAGTTCGTCGAGGAACTTAAACAATTAACGCATCGTATAAAAGTTATTTTGTATAATAATCTCTCTCGCGACACTCCAAACTTATTCATCGACATTTCGGAGCAAGTATACCGACTGACAGACTCGTGTCAATGCCACGCTGCTTAATTTATAATGAGGCCAGCTTCGCGGAGTTCTTCGACAATCGATAAAATTTCGTTGTCGTGAGCGTTGTTGTCAGCTTGGCGCGAAGCGTCAAGCAATCGCAGACGATCCACCAGCTCGTTGGGATCATCCCAATGCACGTAATCGATATTGCTGTCATTTAAGGTCATCATAGCTTGCGATGTGTATAAACTTTTCCCTCCTACTTTATTGCTCGACGTATGTGATACTAGGGGCACGATTATATGTTTATATTTGTGTCCCTTGTTACTGAGTATAGGATTTTGCGGGAGGTACCCGCGTCTGTGAGTATTCGTTGCTAATAGTATATTTTTGTATTTTTGCATATCAGCTTCGGTGTACATAGAATCGTCGGGGATTCTTTTGAATATTAGCTTGTAAAGACCGGGTGTTCCAATGTATCCTGTTTCGTCTATGATTATATTATCGTCTTTGTCCTCATCGATACATTTATCACCGAGCATCGCTCCATCGTTACTAACAAGGGACATGTCACAACTGTCCGGAACCGATTTGATTCTCCTTCAAATATGTTGTTAAATACACAAATCTAGAAAACACGTATTTTTTTATATGTGCAAATATCGAGTTTTAAAGGGCGAAACACCCCTTTAAAAAAAAACGGTATTTTTCTTTAGAATCGAATATCTGCTAAACTATAAGCGATAGAAAAAAAACGTGTAATGAAAATTTAATCGCTTGAAGAATACTTTAAAGTTATATGAACAAAAATTTTTTATTTTTATTTATTTTTAAGAATCCCAACCACTTAATTTTTTTCTGCAAAATAAAAAAAATTTTTTTTACCTAATTTAAACCTAGCACTTTTCCTAATTTCTTTACTTTTAAAAGTTACTTTAAGAGTTACTTTTAAAAAGTAACTTTCCCAACCCTGGTGTTTCAATACTTTTCGTACACCCTATATCTAAAATACGGACATTATTGTATAAACATTATTGTATAAGATATGATATCGTATCGTATTATGCCCAAACATGACAAAAACACGAAAAATATGCGATAAAATTAGAAGCGAGTTTTAGTTCAATGAATATGACTTTATTGAACCTTAGTACGCGCATATAAGTACCGCTACAACTAAATCTCAATCAAATCCCCATTTGAGCAAATCTTGTTTGAGATCGGATACAATATATATGGTACATAAAACTGTATTAATCGTTCGCAGGCAAGTGACTTGATAATGATGAGAGCTTCAACTTTATGCTTCGTTGAAACGTAAATATCATATTCGCATATTTGCTGTATCGATATACTAAAGAAAATATTGGTTTGTTCAAAAAGTCATTACGTTTATTTCTGATAGATAGCTTTAGTTATATATTTAATGTAGTGGACGCATTTATGAATTCATGAGTCGATGTGCATTTGACGACTGACAGCTTCTATTAAGGAAAAAAGTGCACGAGTCGATCAACAATTATTCTTTCTATAACGTTTTGGAAATGCAGAGAGTGAGTCAACACGAGCATTTTCGCCAAGTTTTACCTTATTACTTCCGAAAAGAAAAGAACGTTATGCAAGTTTGTGAAAAGTTGCGTAAAGTTTATGGCGACGAAGCTCTAAAAGAACGCCAGTATCAATACCATTAGTATTGGTTTGCTTGTTTCCGTTCTGGTGACTAAGCGTGAAAGATGCATCTCACTCAGGTCGGCCATAGGATCATAATAAAATAAAAGCATTAGTTGAAGTTAACGTTTTGCCATCCGTGAGCTCGCTGAGGTACTGAAAATATCGATCGAAAGCGTTTATCTTTATTTGAAACAACTTGGTTACATCAGTAAGCTCGATGTTTGAGTCCCGCATGAACTAAAAGAAATTCACCTTATAAAACGCATAGACATCTGCGATTAACTTCTGAAACGTGAACAATCCGACACATTTTTGAAACGCATGATTACTACAGATGAAAAATGGATTGTCTACATTGTAGACATAAACCTATAAAAAATAACTGTTACATCCTATGGACTCCGCGTATTCTACATTCTTTTATAAATAGAGCAAATTGATTTTATATTGCTCGCTTCAAATGTTCAAATGTTATATTCAACTAACATGTTCCGTGATCCTTCGAGTACGATGACGTCACATACCAATTTCTTTTTTTATCTCCCCTTAGACCAAAGTCCTCTAGTTGTTTGTCAGGAAGATTCGCTGAGTCACTTCCCGGACTGACCAGTCGATATCTGATTTTGTTAATCTTCCAGAACTCACAGCTTTTCCACGTCCCGTCATAAAATATATTACCCAACAATTCTTATTAAAACTAGCGAGATGATGAAATCTCTTACCACCATGATACCCCATTCTTTACAATAATTATCTTAGAGATACTTTCGACGCAACTCTAAAATCCCACCTCCGAAAATGTTATTAACAAAGTTCTATGCCCATATTTGGACATAAACCTTCGAACCCTGACGCAACCTCCAAAACTCTACTCTCTCAATCGAGGTGATTTTTAATTAAACGAAAGGTGAATTCATTCTTCGCCTGACCAGGGCCCAAATCAGAACTACAAGTTCGGCATTCAGATTGCGAGTACTTTCTGATATTCAGGCATTGAGATATTCAGTCATTCAGATATTCAGTCATTCAGTCATTCTGACATTCAGATTATTCAGACATTCAGACTGTGACAAGTTAATATCCAGTCACTCGGATTTTGACAAATTTTCATCATTCTCAATAATTATCAACGAATTGCTGTGTGTAACGTGCTAGTGTGGGCACTGAACCGATCTCGAGAGATCCTGAGAGGTACACCCACGCAAAATGGCAGCCCCTGTTCTCTTTTCTTGAATAAATCATCTTAGACAACAGTAAGTTTATTTATTCTCTACTTTTATACCATCACTTTATTAATTTTACCCGTTATTATTGAATCCATTTTCAGTGGGTCACTACTATCATACCACTGTGTCTATTGAAAGAGTTATTGACTCGTTCGAATAAATTTTTGAAACCAGAGATCCCGCTGCAATAGAATCTAACATTCAATACCTCCGAGCGATTATCAATATTTCATTAGAAACTAATTGTAACCCAGATCCGTCACCCTTCTTTATACCACCCTACATTCTCCCTCAACGGTCATCCCCTGCTCCTTCCTCTTTTCCTACACGCGCGTCCACCCCCTCGATCCCTTCAATTTCTTATTCTCCTGTCCCTTTTTCCGAACTGTTCACTCCCCTTAACTTGCCAGACCACTCTCGTACCCCCTCACCCGACTAACTTTCTATTCGTATTCCTTCCTTTTTTTTCGTTTCCTTTTTTTTCTACTTCACATCCACACACACACACACACACACACATACGCATACAATTATTCGCGTAATTGTAAATCGTCACATTCTAAATCGCGCCGTTGTACCATTTTGTTTGTTATCCTTATTTTAATAAAATTTATTATTAATCTATTTTCACTAATTAATTTTAAAATCACCCCACCTTCCAACAGTCGACTCATGGTCTTATCCCCGGTAAAGGGATTCGCGTCTCTGACCGAAAAACGGACCGCTTGTTGTACGTCAGCGACTGAGTAAAGGGATCCGTCGGATCCCTGACCCGTTCCCTGACACGCGTGTACGAACGAGGTACGCTTTTTCCGCGAACGGAAAAGTTGCGCTCCTTCTCTAGGACGTAACATAACTATCACCCAGTTATCGAAGTTTTTTGTCACTGTATGTGAGACTGCATATAAACACTAAATAGAAAAAAATTGATTCTAAAAAACTTTTTAAAAAATGTCAATTTTTGGAGGAAAAAGACTAATTTTTTTGAGAATTAAATCGAGATCATCTGTCAGTATTGAGGAACGACTTGACGATTAAATTATTTTACAATGATAGTTTAAAGAAACTTGACGATTTTGAAGAAAAAATACACGTAATAGTATTATTATTGTTAAATTATAAAACTACACCACAACATATTATACTATATAATATTATGCTATAATATTATTTAAATGAGACGAGGAATAAGAATTTCTTCGAGAAGGTGAAATGTATCAAGACAAATAAACATAATTAATTATCAACTTTAGAGACAATACATTTTAATAAGGTTCGTCTGAGAGGGTCGCAATGTTTCAGCGAATCAGCGATTAGTATGTCCGACCGATTATTATTGAAAATTACCTCGGAAGAACGATATATGGCCGAAAATTTACATCTCATCGAAAATAACTATACAATGCAAGCCATAAAAATAAGGAAACATAATGGACAAAATTTATCTCGCACGTAAAAGAGGAGAACATAATCGACCTTCCGGTTTTTTACGTCAAACTGAATGAAAACCGGTATCAGATTCTCCCACCCGATTCTCCGGCTTATCTTTCTTATTACTGGATATCTGCACTTCAGCGGAAAGAGCGGAATAGTATTAAATTAGTCGTGACATACTCGCGCGCACGAGAGCGTTTAATGCATATGAACAGAGATATATTTTATGTGAGTGTTCTTTTCTATTGACAGATAACACTTTCGCATTCGTTATGTTATCGTACATTGAATAATATTGTAGATTGTGCCGATAAACATGTCGCATATTATATGCCGTATATTTTATACGTTGCAGTATAAAATGTCACAGTTGGTTGTTTAGTGATGTTCAGGTCGGTGTGTTTATCACAATACGCCAATTAGATTCCACGTACAAAGTTGCATATAGTCTACTGCTAAAAACGCCCATAAATCTCTATAAAATGATCAAACCTAGAAAAGAAAAAGAAAATATAAGTTCTACTCGATGTGTTTCATCATACAATGTAGCTAATTATGTATTAACCCTTTAACTGCTGAGATATTAAATTACTAATATGACCCTCTTTACTGAGTTATTTTTACAATTATAAAATATTCTATAATGATAAGAGATGGCACTCCGGAAACAAACAGGTCGTATCTTTACGTTTTTTTATTTTTTGAATGACGTGAACTTCTATGGAAGATATAAAAACGCATTAATTTTCTGTTTCTTTGAGAAACTTTCCAAATCTCTCGGGATGAAATGTCACTCGAAGCGAAGGGTCTTTTCACTCATGTAGAGTGAAAATTCCCTTGAGTCTTCCGCTCTGAATCTCCTAATGAATATTTTCCTTCGAAATTGAGTTTGTGAATTTGATCTGTTTGTTAGAAACGTTTACTTGTATACAGTCAAAAGTCACTCCGAGCTTGAGTGAAACATTCGTTCATACGATTCAGAACGGCATTATTATTCGTTTCGAGTAAATTTTCACTCCTTTTCAGTGAGATTTCTCACCAAGAAATTCAGAAAGAATGTCTTAATGTGCTGGCATTTTGTAGACATTTAGTCAAAGAGATTCGCAATTGTGTTCTTCTCTGAACACTGAATACTGAAAGAAACAATAGAAGAAATGAAGTACAACCTTCTGAAGGATAAAAGGATAAAATAGATAAATCTAATAGATAATCTAAGTAAACGGGTAGGATAGGATAGGTAGGTAATCTTGTTGCTTTAGGAACACGTACACGATATCTACAATTAGCAGATCTAAAGTGCGATATATCAAACATTGCAAGTGCAAGAGCGACGTGAAAAAAGAAAAAGAGAATCTTAATCTCTTTTGTATCCACTTGGAAGAATCGTTGCATCATAGAATCATTACGTCGATTTTGATTTTGAGCATCAGAAATATAAGCAATTTTTAGCGTCATAATTTTCATTAAAAACGCCCATAAATCTCTATAAAATGATCAAACCTAGAAAAGAAAAAGAAAATATAAGTTCTATTCGATGTGTTTCATCATACAATGTAGGCAATTATGTATTAACCCTTTAACTGCTGAGATATTAAATTACCAATATGACCCTCTTTACTGAGTTATTTTTACAATTATAAAATATTCTATAATGATAAGAGATGGCACTATATGCCCGCTCAATTCAAATGCTTTTTACAAATTAAATGAAATGGATATTACACATTGAAAGTCCAAATCGAGTAAACTCGATCGTAGCAAGGCCTCCATTTTTTTGCACACTCAAGTTAACTCGACCGTAGCAGTTAAAGGGTTAAATTATATAGATTGGATATTGCGTTATACGCGTGTTGCGTAAATGATTATCGATTATCATACTTTCTAATAGTTTCTAATAGTTTCTCAACATATGAAAAACGTAGAAAATAACGTAATTATTGCACCTTATTTTTCTATCTAACATATCATGATGTCCTTACAGATGTAGCTGTACATGTGACGGAATTGGATAATTATAGTTTGTTCAGTGCATACATACAGACACAGTGCGAGTTATTACATAAAGTTTGCTGTAGAATCGTCGTCAGACCTGATATTATAACAACCATTGCTCCGCTTATATCAATATGAAGTTGTTATCAATTGTTCTCGTGATTTTAACGAGCTGCGACCAAATCGCCAATACATACCGGATCCTCGGCATATTTCCGCTTCACGGACCGAGTCATTGGGTCATGATGCAACCTTTAATGAAAGGTTTGGCGCAACGTGGCCATCAAGTAGACGTTGTCTCGCATTTCCCGCAGAAGAAGCCGATACCAAACTACACAGACATTAGTTTGGTCGGCTCTATGCCCGAAATTCAGAACAACATGTCCGCGTCTGAAGCTTTGTCGTTCGGCGTTTTTTCTATGAAACATGTGGCTCAAATAGCTGGGAGCAAAATTTGTGAGTTACTAGGCCACCCAGCATTGCAAAATCTGATCAAGAATCCGCCGCAGGATCCTCCCTACGACCTAGTTATTATAGAGGTATGTGTTCATTCTTGTTCGTAGAATTACGTACATGTCCAAACGCGACAAAAACGATAAAAAAACGAATTAAAAGCGAGTTTTAGCTCACCCAATGTAAGTCGCTTTATTGTGCACACATGAGTACCGCTATAAATAAATCTTAATACGTTGACTGCCAACTACGAGATATCTCGTAGGTTGTTTACGTGCCCAGGACGCCTACTACGAGTTATCTCGTCCCTTCATTACTTACCATATTTGTACAGCTACGAGGAAACTCGTAGCATAACAGTGTAAATATGAATAGATGGCCTCAGGAAAAAGAATAAAAAATCAGGTTTGGCTTAAATGAACAGAAAATACAATTATACAAAGCTTATTCAAAAAGAAAAAGTTTATACAAGGAAATAAATTTTTATGTTTTGTGATCATTTTTAAAACATGTTTAAAAAAAAAACATTTTTTAAGCTTTTTGATTATTACTATGTACTATTATTAAAGTTTTCAATAATATAACATGATTAAATCAAATTGGCTCTTTAGACCGGAATCGTGAAAAATTTCGTGGCAGTCAACGTGTTAATCAAATCCCCATTTGAGCGAATGTTATTTGAGATCGGACATAAAATATGCATAAAACTGCATTAAACGTTCGCAGACGAGTCACTTGATAATGATAAGAGCTTCAACTTTATGCCTCGTTAAAACCTAAATATCGTACTTGTATATTTGCTGTATCGATATACCAAGGAGTTGTAAATTCAAAAATTGCAAATTCAATCGCTATAAACATTTTTTAACATGATTTGTTTTAACTATAAAAATTACTGGAAAAAAAATTCGTCCGAGAAGCAATAACACAGAATCGTGAATAACATGATAACAAGTTTCATGTAATAAAAAACGATGATGAAAGATAAGACGTTGTATACGTTGAAAGATAACGTAACGTTATGTAATATAATAGGGAGTTTGCAATACCGTCTCTCAGATATGGTAAACATAAGTTATGAACGTTATTTGCTCAGAAACATCGTCGCAATGTACGCGATCAATAGCATGCATGATTACGTTTATCGTATCTGAGTGACAGTATTGCAAAAACTCCCCAATATTGTGCTGTCGCGCGAGTGACAGAAGCAGAGAGTGAGAGAGTGACAGAGTAAGTGAGAGAGAGTGAGAGAGAGGGGGAGGGAGGGAGGGGGGAGGAGAGAGAGAGAGAGAGAGAGAGAGAGAGAGAGAGAGAGAGAGAGAGAGAGAGAGAGAGAGAGAGATGGAGACGGAGAAAGAGACATAGACGTACCGTAGATGATATGTAATAAACATTCAAATACTTTTTTTTTCAACGCTATTCAATCCAATGAAAAAGCTTGTTTCTCTGAAAACAAGTTTTTGGTCGGACATCTGCAGCGTTTTAAGCTGCATCTAAATAAAGTGTCCAGATCATTTAAAAAATCAATGTATAAATGTACAATAATTTAAGTTAAGAGCATGTTGATAACAATGTTGAAAACAAAAATAAAAAACAAAGTCACCTAATAAATAATAAGGTCAATATCATCATGCGGTTCGCCCCTGTTTGTTTGTATCTGTGATCTGTTTCTCTTTTTCAAATTTACAATAAAAATAGTTATTATATAACTGTAAATGAAGTTAGGCACTTGTTGAGGAAAGAACACTTAAAATTTAATTGAATGACAGTGACTGACAAACAGGGTTGGAAAGTTACTTTTTAAAAGTAACTCGTTACCCTTACCGTTACTTTCGGTAAAAAGTAACTCGTTACCGTTACTCGTTACTGATCTTAAAAAATAACGCGTTACCGTTACTTGAAAGTAACGATATTTTACTTCGTTACTTTCCGTTGCTTTTTCTTATTGTAAATCCAGGATTATAAGAAAAGTGCTAAGACAAAGTATAAATCAGACATAAGATGATTAGAAATATATATATATATGTTTAAATATTTTTATTATTTTATGTTATTAACCTAGTAAGCAAATTGACCACAGACTGCGCATAAATTTGCAGCAAATTTGATCAAAAATCCATATCAAAACCATAGCCATCTGTGTCCACATTCAGCTACGGTTTTAGCGATAGAACCTGCTGTTAAGTAATTGCTGCAGATTTGTAGCAAAAACCGCGCAGAGTCTGCGGCGCGACAAAATCTGCGCTGTTTCTACTACCAATCTGCCGTCAAATCATTACAAGCTTTACGCGATTTTTGCTGCAAATCTGAAGCAATTGCCCGACAGCAGGCTGTGTCACATATCTGGCGGCAGTTTGGCAGCAGGATTTAATATAACAGATCCTGTATCAAATTTGTTGCCTATTTGCTAACAAAAGTTAATAGCAGATTCTGCTCGAAATCTGTTAGCGCAGATTTGGCTATCTTAAAGGAAAAAATAAATACTGAATTTATAAGATGTATTATATTATAAAAGTTAATATTTATTTTTTCCTTTAAAATAGCTGTTACACAGAAATCGTAAGGTTGCAAGAAATTGGATAAAAGAAAATATTTAATTAATTTATTAATTTTATCACCTTACACTTACTAACCTAGGTAGTGTAATGTAGAGCCTTATATAGCAATTTATCTGGCAATATTCATCTAGAAATTTAATTTCATTTTCAGTCAATCTTTGTAAATTATAATGGTCCATACATTTATTTTATCTAAATTAACTTTTATAAGCGATATCAGTTGAGATATTGAATCGTAAGTCGAATTCCACCTATTAATGTACAAAATATGTGAAAACGGTTACTTTTATGGCTATAGAAATGATATTAAAACTTTTGGTTTCTGCCGAATCTGTTTGATGACATCAGAAGTCAGAAATTGCATACTAAGAATAGTTTCAATAGATGTTGGAATAAAAATATATATCCATAAAACGACAGTTCTGATCGATGACACAAATTTGCAAAATGTTTATGACTTATTTGCATATTTTTGCATATGACTTATTCAGTTTTAACAAAAGTTGATGTTCCATGTTGTCATCACATAGGCGATTCTTTTGCGGCGTTAAAATTAAACCACTGACACTAAAGAGTCTTTCCACTGATGCACTGCTTGGTATTGCAATGTTATACTTAATGAAAAGTTTCTTAATTAATAATTAAGATAAGAATTTAATGTTTGGATATTAGTGTCTGAATTTAAAAATCTTTGCCATTCATCATAAGCAGATTCCTTATTTGATGTTTGCTGTTTAAAATTAAAAAAGTCATCGTTATCATCGTGCTTATCAGACATTAAGAAATTTTCAGATAAGGAATTCCTAATACATCTTCTAAATATGTTTGCGCAAGTTTTCGGTTATCTCCGGCTAACCAACTTAATTTGAATTTGGGGTGCAAACAGCTGGCAATTATCAATTCTTTTTTTTCGAATGTAGTACAAAACCTAAAGTTAAATCAATAAAATTAAATATAAACATATTGATTTTTCTTTTTGATCAGATAAATGTTGTTTGATGAACACATATGTTACCAAATTATATCAACTTACCTTTCTTTTAAACCTTTCTGTATAGCTACGGCCAATGGATGACAATATGTGAGTCCATTTTTATCAATATTTTCGACTTTTTGCTGTATGGTACTTAATACCGGCAATAAGTAACCCATGTACATTCCTACATCGCTTTGCAGGATATCCAATGCGCGCGCTAAAGGCCCCATTACCTGATTAAATGAAGGAAAATTATAAACAGTAGAAAGTTATAAACAATATATTTTGTTGAATTATAAAATTTACCTGGTAATATTCATCTAGAAATTTAATCTCAATTTTAGTCAATCTTTGTAAATTACAATGGTCCATACATTTATTTATTTTATCTAAATTAACTTTTATTAGCGATATCAGTTGAGATACGGAATCGTAAGTCGAATTCCACCTATTAATGTACAAAATATGTGAAAACGGTTATTTTTATTGCTATAGAAGTGATATTAAAACTTTTGGTTTCTGAACCGAATCTGTTTGATGACATCAGAAGTCAGAAATTGCATACTAAGAATAGTTTCAATAGATGTTGGAATAGAAATATATATCCATAACGACAGTTCTGATCGATGAAATAAATTTGCAAAATGATTTGAACTTTTATTGTAACAATTAATAAATATTTATATAAGGTAATGTGACAAGCAACTTATAATTATTGATTGCCGCAACAAAAGGGAAATATTCGGAGCATTTTATATGTTTGTTTCATCGATCATAAATGTGTTTTATGAATATGTATTCTTTTATTTTATACTACAATATGTTTTTAATGCGATTTTTTGCTTTTACGTCATCAAACACGTACAAACGCAGAAAGGAACTAACAGTCTTAATATGTAGAGTGATTGAAAACAACCTAAAATCTTTAAAATTATATTATCTTGACTAAATTCTGAAACGATTGAGTTTTCTTTTTGAAAAACTTTATCCAAAGTCTGGTTTTTGAAATATAAAAGAAAATAATTTTGTTATTACGAGACGAATATAGAAAATAAGCAGTGCTATCTGTTTATTTTCTATATTTATTTGATCGTCAGACGCTTATGGTGGCTGTCGACTGTCATATTTGACGGTTGCATCTCCATTGCTTGCTTGTCTATATTCGTCTCGTAAAAATTAAACTATTTCCTTTTATATTTCAAAAATTAAACTTCGAATAAAGTTTTAAAAGAGGTAAGGTCGTCTCAGAATTTAGTCAGAATTATATCATTTTAAGGATCCTTAAAAGTAAATAAAAATGTAAAAAGATATTCTATACCTTGTAATAACAGGAGTCTTTAAATAGACGCCACATAATTCTTTAATTTTGTCGGCTATCTGTGTCGATTGATTTTGTTTATTCCATAATGTGTTTAATTTAGCAAACGTCGTGCTGTACTGTTTTTTGTATGAAGCACTTTCTAAGGCATTTTCGGAATCTTTTACTGCGATGAGATTCAGGGTATGACTAACGCATTTATAATGTGGCGGAAGAATAACAGTATCGTCCACA